TCACCTCGTGTCTCTCTCACCTCATCTCTCACCTCATCTCTCACCTCATCCCTCACCTCATTTCTCACCTCATCTCTCACCTCTCACCTCACCTCTCACCTCATCCCTCACCTCATCCCTCACCTCATCTCTCACCTCATCTCTCACCTCATCTCTCACCTCATCTCTCACCTCATCTCTCACCTCGTCTCTCTCCCTCGCCTCATTTCTCACCTCGTCTCTCTCTCACCTCATCTCTCACCTCGTCTCTCTCTCACCTCATCTCTCACCTCATCTCTCGCCTCATCTCTCACCTCGTCTCTCACCTCATCTCTCACCTCATCTCTCACCTCGTCTCTCTCTCACCTCATCTCTCACCTCATCTCTCTCACCTCTCACCTCATCTCTCACCTCGTCTCTCTCTCACCTCATCTCTCACCTCTCACCTCATCTCTCACCTCATCCCTCACCTCATCTCTCACCTCATCTCTCACCTCATCTCTCACCTCATCTCTCACCTCGTCTCTCACCTCGTCTCTCTCTCGCCTCATCTCTCTCTCACCTCATCTCTCACCTCATCTCTCACCTCAGCTCTCACCTCTCACCTCATCTCTCACCTCACCTCTCGCCTCATCTCTCACCTCGTCTCTCTCTCGCCTCATCTCTCACCTCATCTCTCACCTCATCTCTCACCTCAACTCTCACCTCATCTCTCACCTCGTCTCTCTCTCTCTCGCCTCATCTCTCACCTCGTCTCTCTCTCTCACCTCATCTCTCACCTCGTCTCTCTCTCTCACCTCATCTCTCGCCTCATCTCTCACCTAGTCTCTCTCTCACCTCATCTCTCGCCACATCTCTCACCTCGTCTCTATCTCTCTCTCACCTCATCTCTCACCTCATCTCTCACCTCGTCTCTCTCTCACCTCATCGCTCACCTCTCACCTCATCTCTCACCTCATCCCTCACCTCATCTCTCACCTCATCTCTCACCTCGTCTCTCTCTCTCGCCTCATCTCTCACCTCGTCTCTCTCTCTCACCTCATCTCTCGCCTCATCTCTCACCTCGTCTCTCTCTCTCACCTCATCTCTCGCCTCATCTCTCACCTCGTCTCTCTCTCACCTCATCTCTCACCTCGTCTCTCTCTCACCTCGTCTCTCTCTCACCTCGTCTCTCTCTCTCACCTCGTCTCTCTCTCACCTCGTCTCTCACCCACCTCGTCTCTCACCTCGTCTCTCTCCCACCTCGTCTCTCTCCCACCTCGTCTATCACCTCGTCTCTCTCACCTCGTCTCTCTCCCACCTCGTCTATCACCTCGTCTCTCTCTCACCTCGTCTCTCTCTCACCTCGTCTCTCTCCCACCTCGTCTCCCACCTCGTCCCTCTCCCACCTCGTCTCTCTCTCCCCTCGTCTCTCTCTCACCTCATCGCTCACCTCTCACCTCATCTCTCACCTCATCCCTCACCTCATCTCTCACCTCATCTCTCACCTCGTCTCTCTCTCTCGCCTCATCTCTCACCTCGTCTCTCTCTCTCACCTCATCTCTCGCCTCATCTCTCACCTCGTCTCTCTCTCTCACCTCATCTCTCGCCTCATCTCTCACCTCGTCTCTCTCTCACCTCATCTCTCACCTCGTCTCTCTCTCACCTCGTCTCTCTCTCACCTCGTCTCTCTCTCTCACCTCGTCTCTCTCTCACCTCGTCTCTCACCCACCTCGTCTCTCTCACCTCGTCTCTCCCCTCGTCTCTCTCACCTCATCTCTCACCTCGTCTCTCTCTCACCTCATCTCTCACCTCGTCTCTCTCTCACTTCATCTCTCGCCTCGTCTCTCACCTCGTCTCTCTCTCTCACCTCATCTCTCTCCCACCTCATCTCTCACCTCGCCTCTCTCACACCTCATCTCTCGCCTCGTCTCTCACCTCGTCTCTCACCTCGTCTCTCACCTCGTCTCTCACCTCGTCTCTCAACTCTCACCTCATCTCTAACCTCGTCTCTCTCTCACCTCATCTCTCTCACCTCATCTCTCACCTCATCTCTCACCTCATCTCTCACCTCATCTCTCACCTCGTCTCTAACCTCGTCTATCACCTCGTCTCTCTCTCACCTCATCTCTCACCTCATCTCTCTCTCACCTCATCTCTCGCCTCATCTCTCACCTCGTCTCTCTCTCACCTCATCTCTCGCCTCATCTCTCGCCTCATGTCTCACCTCGTCGCTATCTCTCTCACCTCATCTCTCACCTCATCTCTCTCTCACCTCATCTCTCACCTCGTCTCTCTCTCACCTCATCTCTCACCTATCACCTCATCTCTCACCTCATCTCTCACCTCATCTCTCACCTCGTCTTTCTCTCTCACCTCATCTCTCACCTCATCTCTCACCTCATCTCTCTTCTCGTCTCTCACCTCGTTTCTCTCTCTCAAGTCATCTCTCGCCTCATCTCTCACCTCGTCTCTATCTCTCTCTCACCTCATCTCTCACCTCTCACCTCATCTCTAACCTCATCTCTCACCTCGTCTCTCTCTCTCTCGCCTCATCTCTCACCTCGTCTCTCTCTCTCACCTAATCCCTCGCCTCATCTCTCACCTCGTCTCTCTCTCACCTCATCTCTCACCTCGTCTCTCGCCTCATCTCTCTCTCACCTCATCTCTCACCTCGTCTCTCTCACCTCATCTCTCACCTCATCTCTCTCTCACCTCTCACCTCATCTCTCACCTCGTGTCTCTCTCACCTCATCTCTCACCTCATCTCTCACCTCATCCCTCACCTCATGTCTCACCTCATCTCTCACCTCTCACCTCACCTCTCACCTCATCCCTCACCTCATCCCTCACCTCATCTCTCACCTCATCTCTCACCTCATCTCTCACCTCATCTCTCACCTCGTCTCTCTCCCTCGCCTCATTTCTCACCTCGTCTCTCTCTCTCACCTCATCTCTCGCCTCATCTCTCACCTCGTCTCTCTCTCTCACCTCATCTCTCGCCTCATCTCTCACCTCGTCTCTCTCTCACCTCATCTCTCACCTCATCTCTCACCTCGTCTCTCTCACCTCATCTCTCACCTCGTCTCTCTCTCACCTCATCTCTCGCCTCATCTATCACCTCGTCTCTCTCTCACCTCATCTCTCGCCTCGTCTCTCACCTCGTCTCTCTCCCTCTCAAGTCATCTCTCGCCTCATCTCTCACCTCGTCTCTCTCTCTCACCTCATCTCTAACCTCGTCTCTCACCTCGTCTCTCTCTCTCGCCTCATCTCTTACCTCGTCTCTCTCTCACCTCATCTCTCACCTCGTCTCTCTCTCACCTCATCTCTCACCTCGTCTCTCATCTCGTCTCTCACCTCGTCTCTCACCTCGTCTCTCTCTCTCGCCTCATCTCTCACCTCGTCTCTCTCTCACCTCATCTCTCGCCTCATCTCTCACCTCGTCTCTCTCTCTCTCACCTCATCTCTCACCTAATCTCTCACCTCTCACCTCATCTCTCACCTCATCTCTCACCTCGTCTCTCACCTCCTCTCTCACCTCGTCTCTCTCTCACCTCATCTCTCGCCTAATCTCTAACCTCGCCTCTCACCTCGTCTCTCTCTCTCGCCTCATCTCTCACCTCGTCTCTCTCTCACCTCATCTCTCGCCTCATCTCTCACCTCGTCTCTCTCTCACCTCATCTCTCACCTCATCTCTCACCTCATCTCTCACCTCGTCTCTCTCTCGCCTCAAGTCTCACCTCGTCTCTCTCACCTCATCTCTCGCCTCATCTCTCACCTCGTCTCTATCTTTCTCACCTCATCTCTCACCTCGTCTCTCTCTCACCTCATCTCTCACCTCGTCTCTCTCTCACCTCATCTCTCACCTCGTCTCTCTCTCACCTCATCTCTCGCCTCATCTCTCACCTCGTCTCTCTCTCTCTCACCTCATCTCTCACCTCATCTCTAACCTCGTCTCTCACCTCGTCTCTCTCTCTCGCCCATCTCTCGCCTCATCTCTCACCTCGTCTCTCTCACCTCTTCTCTCACCTCTCACCTCATCTCTCACCTCGTCTCTCACCTCGTCTCTCACCTCGTCTCTCCCTCTCACCTCATCCCTCGCCTCATATCTCACCTCGTCTCTCTCTCACCTCATCTCTCACCTCTCACCTCATCTCTCACCTCGTCTCTCACCTCGTCTCTCACCTCGTCTCTCACCTCGTCACTCTCTCGCCTCATCTCTCACCTCGTCTCTCTCCCACCTCATCTCTCGCCTCATCTCTCACCTCGTCTCACTCTCTCACCTCATCTCTCACCTCTCACCTCATCTCTCACCTCGTCTCTCACCTCGTCTCTCTCTCTCTCGCCTCAACTCTCACCTCGTCTCTCTCTCACCTCACCTCTCGCCTCATCTCTCACCTCGTCTCTATCTTTCTCACCTCATCTCTCGCCTCATCTCTCACCTCGTCTCTCTCTCACCTCATCTCTCACCTCATCTCTCTCTCACCTCATCTCTCGCCTCATCTCTCACGCGAAGACGAAGAAGAGAGTGGGTGGCGACCGGTACGAACTTGCCGGGCTTGAGGCGACTTCCCGCAGGCATCGTAACCCACCCACCCGCCTCACCTAGATCGCATGCCGCTTTTGCGTCGCGATTAGCGGCAGGAGCCTGCGGCCTAGGCGACCCCCCCCCCCCCACAACCCCGATCGCCTCTCTCACCACTCTCTCTCATCTCACCGCTCGCTCGCTCACCTCATCTCTCTCACCTCTCTCTCCCTCTCATGTCACCTCTCTCACCTCTTTCTCATCTCTCTCATCATCATCTCTCTCTCTCCTATATCTCTCATCTCCGACCAACAGCGCCTCTCGGAATGCCCCGCACCACCACCACCACCAACCCCACCACCACCACCAACCCCACCACCACCACCAACCCCACCACCACCACCAACCCCACCACCACCAACAACACCAACCCCACCACCACCAACCCCACCACCACCAACCCCACCACCAACACCACCACCACCACCAACCCCACCACCACCACGGCATTACTCACGCGAAGACGAAGAAAAGCGTCGTGGCGCCCACGAGCAGGGTCGTGGCGGTGGCGACCGGTACGAACTTGCCGGGCTTGAGGCGACTTCCCGCAGGCATCGTACCCACCCACCCGCCTCACCTAGATCGCATGCCGCTTTCGCGTCGCGATTCGCGGCAGAAGCCTGCGGCCTAGGCTACCCCCCCCCCTCCTCCCACCACCACCACCACCACCTCTCCTACACCGTCTAGGCCGGCCTCGCTGTGGTAGGAGACGGAGGGATATTTAAACAAATTAACAAGAACGGGGAGGGCGGGCAGAGGGAGATTCTCGTAAAAGAAGCGAACGTCTGTTGAGGTGGTGTAGTTTGTTATAAATGGTGAGAGGGAGAGAGGCAGAGGGGGGAATTTTGGCGAGGCGGTGGAGGCGAGGAAGCTTCAGCGGAGACGGCAGGGGAGGAGGTAGGAGGAGCTATGGTTGACAAGCGTCTGCGTGTGTGTATGTGTGTCAGTGTGTGTATGTGTGTGTCTGTGTGTGTGTATGTGTGTGTACGTGTGTCAGTGTGTGTATGTGTGTGTGTATGTGTGTCTGTGTGTATGCGTGTGTACGTATGTATGTGTGTGTCAGTGTGTGTCTATGTGTGTGTGTCAGTGTGTGTATGTGTGTCAGTGTGTGTCTGTGTGTATGTACGCGTGTGTCAGTGTGTGTCTGTGTGTGTATGTGTGTCTGTGCATACGTGTGTGTATGTATGTGTGTGTCAGTGTGTGTCTGTGTGTATGTGTGTGTATGTATGTGTGTCAGTGTGTGTGTGTGTCTGTGTGTATGTGTATGTATGTGTGTGTCAGTGTGTGTGTCAGTGTGTGTCAGTGTTTGTCTGTGTGTGTGTCTGTGTGTATGTGTGTGCGTATGTATGTGTGTGTCAGTGTGTCTGTGTGTATGTGTGTATGTGTGTGTATGTGTGTGTGTGTCTGTGTGTATGTGTGTGTATGTATGTGTCAGTGTGTGTCTGTGTGTGTGTCAGTGTGTGTCAGTGTGTGTCTGTGTGTGTATGTGTCTGTGTGTATGTGTGTGTGCGTATGTATGTGTGTGTCAGTGTGTGTATGTGTGTGTATGTATGTGTGTCAGTGTGTGTCAGTGTGTGTATGTGTGTCTGTGTGCCAGTGTGTGTGTGTGCGTATGTATGTGTGTGTCAGTGTGTGTCTGTGTGTGTATGTATGTCTGTGTGTGCGTATGTATGTCTGTGTGTATGTGTGTGTATGTATGTGTGTCAGTGTGTGTGTGTCAGTGTGTGTGTCTGTGTGTGTGTGTCACTATGTGCGTGTGTGTGTTATGAACCTGGCGACGCGGGTTCGATTCCCGCTCACGGCCAACACCAGTGACGATTATCTGAACCGGTCCCGGGCCTCCCCTAGGTCGACTCAGCCTCAAATGAGTACCTGGTGCAGTGTGTAAACATTGCCACTAGGGAGACAAAGGCGGTCGGGCGTGGTGCTGGCCACCCACCCCCTTGTGTACCCGTTCCGGCCTTCATAGGTGCTCGCTAACAGCACTTGCCCCTACAGTCTGTTACTGGCTATATGGGGGATCTTTATCTTTGTGTGTGTGTGGTGTGTGTGTGTCTGTGTGTCGAGCGGCAATATCTTTTCATCGGTTGCGTAACGCTGTGTGGAAGCTACCTGGTCTGTCGCTCCGCACTAAGCTTCAGGTGTTCTAGGCCACGGTCATTCCCTCCCTTCTTTACGCTTGCGAAACGTGGACTCCCCTAATGGAACATCTTCGCCGGTTAGAAACATTTAGGCTGGCCTGCCTACGATCCATCCTGGGTTTAACCAGGCTGGATTGTGTGAGGAGCTCACAAATCTTTGAAAGATCTGGGCAAGGTCCCATCGGTGAGCTCCTCCGGCGGGCAAGGCTGCGTTGGCTGGGTCATGTAGCCCGCATGCCCAGCCACCGCGTGCCGAAACAGCTTTTGTTCGGTCGGATCGAGAGGGCTAAACGGGCGCGGCACGGGCTAGAGAAGAGATGGAGTGATGTGGTACAGGAGGACGTGGAGCTGAGTGGACTTGCCGATGACTGGTACCAGCGGTGTCAAGATCGGCCTCTGTGGAGGAGGCTCGTGAAGGACGCTGCTGGGCAGTTGGAGGCAGTCGCCCTCCAACAACAACGGAAGGCGGAGGAGCAACGCTCACAACACCGAGCGGAGCGCCGGGTGGCTAAAGCACAGCAGGTTGGCACAGTAAGAGGCACAGGTGGTGCATCAGCCAGTCATCTCAGTCAGTCGACCGGTGGCACCTGCTGGGTCTGCCCCTTGACCTCCTGCCAGCGGGCGTTCGACACTTCACGTGGCCTCAAGGTGCACATGGCCTGGCACAAGCGTCGTGGTGACGTCACCGCCACTTAGTGGCGAATGGCGGTTGTTGTTCTGTCTGTATGTAAATTTACGTGTGTCTGTGTGATAATCTGTCAGTGTGTATGTGTGTGATAGTGTGTGTGCCTGTGTGTCTGTATGAGAATCTGTATGTCAGTGTGTATGTGTGTGTCTGTGTGAAAATCTGTGTCAGTGTGTATGTGTGTGATAGTGTGTTTGTCTGTGTGAGAATCTGTGTCTGTGTGAGAATCTGTGTGTATGTCTGTGTGAGAATCTGCGTGTCTGTGTGTGTGTCTGTCTGTATGAGTGTCTGTGCGTGTGTCTGTGTGTGTGTCTGTGTGTCTGTATGAGTGTCTGTGCGTGTGTCTGTGTGCGTAGTGTAGCGGTTAGCGCGCTGCGCTACGAACCTGGCGACCCGGGTTCGATTCCCGCTCACGGCCAACACCAGTGACCATTATCTGAACCGGTCCCGGGCCTCCCCTAGGTCGACTCAGCCTCAAATGAGTACCTGGTGCGGTGTTAACATCGCCACTGGGAGACAAAGACTTCTGGGCCACCCTGTGCTGGCCACCCACCCCCTCGTGTGCCGTCTTCATAGGTGCTCGCTAACAGCACTTGCCCCTACAGCCTGTTAAGGCTATTCAGGGGATTTTTGTCTTTGTGTGTATATGTGTGAGTCTATGGATCTTTGTGTGAGTCAATGGATCTCTGTGTGAGTCTACGGCTCTCTGTGTGAGTCTACGGCTCTCTGTGTGAGTCTATGGGTCTCTGTGTGAGTCTATGGATCTCTGTGTGAGTGAGTCTATGGGTCTCTGTGTGAGTGAGTCTATTGATCTCTGTGTGAGTCTATGGATCTCTGTGTGAGTCTATGGATCTCTGTGTGAGTGAGTCTATGGATCTCTGTGTGAGTCTATGGGTCTCTGTGTGAGTCTATGGGTGTATGGGTCTCTGTGTGAGTCTATGGATCTCTGTGTGAGTCTATGGATCTCTTAGTTAGTCTATAGGGAGTGTTGTTACACAGGGTGGCCCAGAAGTCAGGACACATAGGGGGTGACGTCATACAGGGTGGCCCACAAGTCAGGACACATAGGGGGTGTTGTTGTACGGGGTGGCGCAGAAGTCAGGACACATAGGGGGTGACGTCATACAGGGTGGCCCAGAAGTCAGGACACATAGGGGGTGACGTCATACAGGGTGGCCCAGAAGTCAGGACACATAGGGGGTGACGTCATACAGGGTGGCCCAGAAGTCAGGACACATAGGGGGTCACGTCATACAGGGTGGCCCACAAGTCAGGACACAGAGGGGTGACGTCATATCTGGTGGCCCAGAAGTCAGGACACATAGGGGGTGACGTCCTACAGGGTGGCCCACAAGTCAGGACACATAGGGGGTGACGTCATACAGGGTGGCCCACAAGTCAGGACACATAGGGGTTACGTCATACAGGGTCGCCCAGAAGTCAGGACACATAGGGGGTGACGTCATACAGGGTGGCCCACAAGTCAGGACACATAGGGGGTGTCGCTATACAGGGTGGCCCAGAAGTCAGGACACATAGGGGGTGACGTCATACAGGGTGGCCCACCAGTCAGGACACATAGGGGGTGTCGCTATACAGGGTGGCCCAGAAGTCAGGACACATAGGGGTCACGTCATACAGGGTGGCCCACCAGTCAGGACACATAGGGGTGACGTCATACAGGGTGCCCCAAAAGTCAGGACACATAGGGGTGACGTCATACAGGGTCGCCCAGAAGTCAGGACACATAGGGGTGACGTCATACAGGGTGGCCCAGAAGTCAAGACACATAGGGGGATGACGTCATACAGGGTAGCCCAGAAGTCAGGACACAGGGGTGACGTCATACAGGGTGGCCCAGAAGTCAGGACACATAGGGCGTGACGTCATACAGGGTGGCTCACAAGTCAGGACACATAGGGGATGACGTCATACAGGGTGGCCCAGAAGTCAGGACACATAGGGGGTGTTGTTATACAGGGTGGCCCACAAGTCAGGACACATAGGGGGTGACGTCACACAGGGTGGCCCAGAAGTCAGGACACATAGGGGGTGACGTCATACAGGGTGGCCCAGAAGTCAGGACACATAGGGGGTGACGTCATACAGGGTGGCCCAGAAGTCAGGACACATATGGGGTACGTCATACAGGGTGGCCCAGAAGTCAGGACACATAGGGGGTGACGTCATACAGGGTGGCCCAGAAGTCAAGACACATAGGGGGTGACGTCATACAGGGTGGCCCTGAAGTCAGGACACAGGGGGTGACGTCATACAGGGTGGCCCAGAAGTCAGGACACATAGGGCGTGACGTCATACAGGGTGGCCCAGAAGTCAGAACACATAGGGGTGACGTCATACAGGGTGGCCCAGAAGTCAGGACACATAGGGGGTGACGTCATACAGGGTGGCCCAGAAGTCTGGACACATAGGGGGTGACGTCACACAGGGTGGCCCAGAAGTCAGGACAGATAGGGGATGACGTCATACAGGGTGGCCCAGAAGTCAGGACACATAGGGGGTGTTGTTATACAGGGTGGCCCACAAGTCAGGACACATAGGGGGTGACGTCACACAGGGTGGCCCAGAAGTCAGGACACATAGGGGGTGACGTCATACAGGGTGGCCCAGAAGTCAGGACACATAGGGGGTGACGTCACACAGGGTGGCCCAGAAGTCAGGACACATAGGGGATGACGTCATACAGGGTGGCCCAGAAGTCAGGACACATAGGGGGTGTTGTTATACAGGGTGGCCCACAAGTCAGGACACATAGGGGGTGACGTCACACAGGGTGGCCCAGAAGTCAGGACACATAGGGGGTGACGTCATACAGGGTGGCCCAGAAGTCAGGACACATAGGGGTGACGTCACACAGGGTGGCCCAGAAGTCAGGACACATAGGGGGTGACGTCATACAGGGTGGCCCAGAAGTCAGGACACATAGGGGGTGTTGTTATACAGGGTGGCCCACAAGTCAGGACACATAGGGGGTGACGTCACACAGGGTGGCCCAGAAGTCAAGACACATAGGGGGTGACGTCATACAGGGTGGCCCAGAAGTCAGGACACATAGGGGGGTGACGTCACACAGGGTGGCCCAGAAGTCAGGACACATAGGGGGGGT